TTTTGTGTGTGAGCTCTTCACTATTGAGGCATAGCTTTATAGCATCTCCACTAAACTCGTTCTTCTTAGAGCGGAAGGTAATTATGGCCGATTTGCTACAGTTTATGTGTAACCCGTGGTATCTAAACCAATCACAAACGCCGCGTAAATCTACTGCTAGTTTTTCATTAGCATCAACACATGAGGAGGGATCATAGGATAGATAAAGCTGGGTATCATCAGCCATAAGAATGTAAAGCGCAACGTTTGACCGACCGATCCAAGTCCGACACGTATAAAGTGAATAAGATTGGTCCTAAAATGGAACCTTGCGGCACCCCCTTTACAATGACCCGATTGTCAGAATAGTCACTGCCTATTTTAACTTGTTGAAGTCGATCTGATAGGTAATTGTCAAGCCATGTAATCGAATTCTCAGAAAAACCAAGAAAGTGCAGCTTAGCCAATAACATTTTGTGGTTTAAACAGTCAAATGCCTTTCTTAAATCCAGCAGAACAGTTGTAGTTACGCAGGAATTATCTATAGCTCTCAAGTAGTCATCACAAATGTCAACTAATGCAGTCACAGTACTATGATTTTTTCTAAATCCCAACTGTGTATTTGGAATTAAGCTATATATTGATGTGTGTTAGCATTTGCTCGTAAACGATCTTTTCTAGAATTTTTGACAAGAGTGAAAGTATGCTTATAGGCCTGAAATCGCAAGGCAATTGGGGATTATCGATTTTACCAACGGGAATAACAGTTGCGGCTTTCCATATGAGCGGTACGATACCATGTTCCAAAGAAAAGTTTATAATATGAGTAAGAGCCTTGAGGCAAAAAGGAAGAATATAGGAAAATGTATCTATATTTAATCCATCTAGTCCGGTAGCACGCGAGTTTATTTTTTGAAAGGTCTTCAAGACTTTTTCCTCGGTAACAAACTTAAACTGAAATAGGTCATTGATATTTGGTAGCATGTGGGTGTTGTGGTACTCTAAGAGTGTTTCATTTATTGAGTTATCGGGAACTGAATCCACAAAACAGTTATTTAATATGTTGGGTTCCAAAGTACACAGATTATTTTTAACCTTAGAACCATGAATCCCTAGCTCCTTTGTAGCTTTCCACCAGCTCCGAGAACTGTTGCTTTTTCTTAGCTGGTATTCAATATATGCTTTTTTTTCGCGCCTAATAGATGCTGTGACTAGATTACTTAATTGCTTATAGTAGTTCCATTTGGCAGTTTTTATCTCGTCAGAAAAATTGTTCTTAACAGTTTTCTTATACTTAGAATAGGCATTATTGCGTAACCGCATCATGAATTTAATATTGTGTGTAATCCAGGGACAACGTGCTTTTGATATCTTCCTGGTTTTAATTGGTGCGCATATATTTAGCAGATCATCAATAAGGCTGTAAAAATGTTGCAGTTTTGATTCAATGTCATCATAGTCGATAACACCTAGCCAGTGCATATTAGACGATACCTCATTCAAAAGAGACTCCATCAATATTCTTAAATCACGGGTCTGTACATATTTTGTATCTCTAACGGCTGGTTCACATTCCACAAAAATAAACTAGATAGTGATCGGACACCGCAGGAAGATTCACAACTCCTTTATTAGCAATCTTAACTTCATCATTAACGAAAACGACATCTATTAAGGTACTACTGTTATTCGTGACCCTGGTTTCATGGTCAACTATTTGATGCAGATTCAAATCTTCAAAAATGTTAGAGACAAAGACACATTCAGGACTACTACAATCAAAGAAGTTAATATTCAAGTCGCCCATGCATACTAAACCCTCTGATGTTGGAAATATAGATGTCAACATTTCCTCCAGCTCCGACAGAGTTCTATAGCTGACACTGGGGGGTTTATAAACTACTCCAACCGTGTACTTTTTTTTGTTGACAGATATATTTACCCAAAGCTGTTCAAAACCACTGTTCACCTCTGCATGCAAGTTCTCCAGCATTGAGCATCGTAAGCCAACTCTGACATATAAGGCAATATCATTATCGAGTTTTGAAAAGTTTCATTAACTAGAATGGTGCGGTACCTTAGAAAATACAAAATTTAAAGTGAAAATCAGTATGGATTTATATAAGGGAAGTCTACATTGGACGCAATAATTAATATTGTATATCAAATACATCAAAATGTTGATAACAAAATTCCTTCTATTTACGTTTTGTTGGAAGCGTTCGACACCGTAAGTCATAAATTATTATTATCATTGGAGATAAATGATTTTAGATGAAAAGCATATTCACTGATCGAAAATTATCTATCAAACCGCCCGCAATCTGTCCACAAGGAACGTTCTTAGGTCCACTGTTATTGAATATGTATTTAACGACATTTTCCAAATCAATTGCGTTGGTAAATAACCTTTTTTGATTTTGTCAAAATTGTTTGGTGGCTTAATAACATAAAACACATGTTTTATCATTTGTATCAATTGCCAAATTACACAGCCTGCTCCTTCAACATTAATGATCAAAAACTGCAAATTAATAGAGTGCCAAATATAAAATAGTACTGTATCCTCACTTACGCTGGGACATCCGTGTGAATTATATTTTAAAGAAAGTTTGACTTGGATATACTGACTGAAAGGTATTTTCGTACATTGACACTAATTGAGCCTCATCTCACATATGGTAATTAGCATGGGGCGCTGCATATTCATCACATATCTAATAATAATAATAATAATAATAATAATAAACGGCTTTATTGGCGGAGTTTAGCACAGCTATTGTTACACTCAACATTTCTAAAGACTAAACCTTAATGCTAATTTGACATACAAATATGGTAAACGATTGGGTGTCTATGAATCTAACTAAAAAAAGAAAATAATGGTAATTGATCACAGGGCATTTATTCATTGATCCTATGCTGAATTCCTAGAAGCTGTTGTCTGAGATGAGATGTTATACTAAGTGACACAGAAATCCGAACACCCAGTTTAAATGGTTTTATTTTAATAAAATTTTGTATAAGTACATACTTAATGAAGCATAATAAGTATATGATAAAAAATTCAAAATGATTGCACTGCTTTAAAGCCCTTTGACCTTTAATAATGTGTGGATGCACCCTGATGTGCTACGCATTCTCCAACGCGCCTAGGCATGCTTCTGATCAGGTGGTCAATGTCCTCCTGTGGTATCTCATTCAGGCAACCACCAACTCTCTCGAAGTGCTTCTAGAGTCTGAGGAGGACGTTGCAAATTGAGCAATCTCCTACCCATCATATCCCACACGTGCTCAATTGGGGATAAGTCGGGAGATCTTGGTGGCCATGGTAACAATGTGACATCATTATGTTGAAAGAAGTCTATTGTGACTCTTGCAACATGTGGTCGGGCATTATCTGTTGGAAAGTTGGATCTGCCAGGGTGTCAAGATAGGGTAAAAGATGGGGCTCTAGAACTTCGTGGATTATAACGCTGCACGTTCATATTCCTCGGATGAAGATTAAAGGTGACCTGGAACCATAAGCTATAGCACCCCAAACCATAACTCCAACAGTGTGATGAACATGTCTTTCAACAAAAACTGTGGATTCCTCCTTTTCACCACGTCGCCTTCTAACCCTGGCACGACCATCGTGCATGCCTAAACAAAATCGAGACTCGTCCACTAAAGACAATACTGGTTCCATTCCTGGATCCCAGAGTGACCGTTGTCTGCACCACTCAAGGCGATTACGTCGGTGTTCTCGAGTTAAAGGGAAGACCCAGTGTGGCCGGTATGAAACAAGCCAAAACTTCTTATTCATCGGTAAACACTTCGCATGCCAATAGGTCTTCGTGTTCTGCAAACCATTCATTTGCAAGGACCTGGTAGTGGAGAAACGGTCCCTTAAGGCCATAATCTTAGGCGGCGATCTTCACGGTCTGTTGTTCTCCGGCGGCGTCCAGTGCCCCTTGCTCTTTGCGTACGGCCTTCTCGAAGCCATGCCCTGACAACACCTAACCACAGTGTCTACACTTCTTTGCACTCTAACTGCAATTGCCCGAAAAGAAAGTCCAGCTTCCCGAAGTCCCAATATACGGCCCCTATCAAACTCACTAAGTTGACGAAATCGTACAGGTCTCCGTACTCTAGGCATCGTAACCGATCGTAAAGGATGTCAAGAACCAAAATCCGCCAACGTTGATTCTTTACTGCGGCTGAAAGATTCATTTTAGAGCGTTAGTGAATTAAACAAAAGAAGTATAAAAACCGGAATGTCCAACTGATAAGGCTTAAAATTTTTTCACTTGTTATTTACAGTAAGATAAATACATTCACCAACTTTTATTAAAATAAAACCATTTAAACTGGGTGTTCAGATTTATAAGTCACTTAGTATATATATATATATATATATATATATATAATTCTGCATGCAACTTTCTTTTTCTACAAGATGCATGCAAAACTGCAAAAATATTTTTGAAACAATTAATTTCTGTCAAATGAAAGTATATTTAAATCATTATTAGAGCTTAAAAATACTGATATAGTGAATGCGCATCCCAGTTGAAAGTTATAGTGTATTTTGGAGTAAAAAATTCACAGGATAAAAATGGTAGTATTATGGCCTGAAGCGTTCACACTTAGATTAGACTATATTTGGAGGGAAAAAATCGAAAATAAAAAAATTCGGTTGGCCAAATATGGTTTGTAATGTTACTTCCGGCTTAGCCTTGTCCTTTTTTAATTTGAAATTTGTTTATCAAAAATTTCAGAAATTTTTCTATATAAAGCTATGACACTTTTCAATTTGAAAAAATTCTCGAAAACATCCCAATTTCAAATGCAGCTTCTCTTTCGAAGCCCGTAACTTGGCAAATGAATACGCCACGAAAAAAAATCATGTTTTCTCTTTCACACCTACTAGGGCCCAATATGAACGAATGTCAAAACCTCACTTTTATTAGCTGTCCGCTTCACGTGAAATACCCCAAGAGAGTGATCTATTGTATCGAATTGCTTGTCGCCAGGTTCCCAAGTTAGCTTCGACTCGGTAGCTGACCAACAGGATGTAGATGAGATCAACCGCATCCTGGATGTGGAAATGCCGGAGCTGAACCTCGAAAAAGTATCGAACGTGGACGAAGAACTCCTGCTCCAGTTCGAATCGAGAATAATGGAGATGATAGAATTGGAAAGCAAAGCCGTGCAAAGCGTTGCTGAGCTTTGCAGGCCGGAAATGATCGAAGTTGTTCGGCTTGAGTTGGAGTTTGATGAGTACTCGTTCAGAAACTTTAGAAAGTGCTTTTCGTTGTCGATAAAGTCAAGTATCGCTCACCTGCGTTGTTCGAAAGGTGCTATGAGATATCTATGGAGGTTAGTTAGATATATATTATTTTGTTCTTCCTAAGAATAGTAATATACGATTATTTAATGATTTATGCCCAATCAGCATTCTACGTACCTTCAAAGATTTTAGTAAAGATAAGACAATGTATAGGCAGATAACCGAACATTTAACTGAAAATAACATTTTACCTCTGAAACAGTCAGGTTTTAGAAGTGGTCACAATTCTAAAAGTGCGCTAATCGATTTAACGGACAACATCGTTCGAGTTTGGGACAAGCATTTAGCTACGCATTAGTGCAACAAGACTTTTCCAAAGCGTTTGACACGACAAACCATTCCTTATCCTTAGCTAAATGTAGATTTTATGGGTTTTGCGAAACTGTATTCAATTATTTATTAAAACGTACTCAAAAGGTCACTGTTCAATCAATGTCAACAGGTGGACATTCAGTAAGCTGCGAAAGCCCTATACAGTCTGGTGTACCTCAGGGGTCTATACTACTCGTATGCTGGGACCACTCCTGTTTCTGTTCTATATTTCCGATATAGACAGATCGATGAAGCATTGCAATGTACAATTTTTTGCTGATGATACCCAGTTTTTCACCACTTTGCCTGCGATTATGTTCACCAAGCTCAACAGACGCTCAATGAAGATTTAAAATGCATAGATAGCTATACTAGACAACATAATTTACAGCTTAATCCTGTTAAATCAATTGTGATGGTTTTTGCTCCCCAAAATAAGGCATAATCTGGAAGAAAATTTGATAATATCTTTAAATGGACAGGGCAAACAAAATGGGGAATCAGCAAGAAATTTAAGCGTACTCTTTGATAAGAACCTTTTACTATTGAGAGGCTTCTTATCTCAGTGGCTAGATATAATGGCCATTAAATCTTTCTTCTACTACTACTACTAGTACTAGTAGTAGTAGTAGAAAGATTTATTTAGCACATTTGGCTACATAAACAGAATAATTGTAAACAACTTAGAACTAGTAAATTCAAGCTATATGGTGTATGATGTAAATGCTGGGCAACCTATAATTGAAGGGTCGGCCGGAACAACGTTGTATGTAACAAAAAAGCTCAGTGGCCGAAATTAAGAAAAACAAATTTGAACCATTTTTTTCAAATGACTGCGTCTATAGTTGGCCAGTACAATAAAAGAACAATAGTTATACAAGGTTATTGTAATTTAAAATGTGACACCTATTTTGCAGCAATGGGAACCATTTTTATGGAAAACGCATGTAACAAGGTTGTATGGTCACGTTACTCACAACGTTATTACAGGGAGGCTTTAAATGACTATAAGCAAAACAAGTATTTTCAGCAGTTCTATTTATTAAGGGAACCAAAGAACACAGTAACATATTTTTAATAACAAGAAAATACGTTCTAAGTTCATCAACGTGTTTCGAAACCAAAACTGAAACTTAAGTATTACTGGGTTGCAGTTAATTTCTCATAAAATGTTACATACTTAAGCGGAATATAATTACTCATATCCTCAAGGTTTTTAATTTTTCATCGTTGATTGGAAGAAGGTTGTGATACATTATAGGTAACTATTCAGATGATATAATATCAGTGGTAAAAGTCATTGTTTCTTTTCTTTTACGATTGCGTATGGGAAATGAATTCCAGGGCTGCATAATATTATGAGATTTTCTCATTCTCAAAGTAGCTGGAGAATCAGCGGTAAGTTGCAGCCACAATCCTTGTGTAATTTTACATTTGAGGTATTTCCATATACAATATTCCAAAGCTGTTAAATTCTCAAAGAAGGCTTGGTGCATCCAGACAACTTTAAAAGGATTTTTAACTTTGGCATTAGCAATGACACCGACCCACTGGAACGGTTCATAAACCATAGATATTCTTATTTGTTTACGTACATACAACGTTGTCACGCGGAGGACTGAAATGGCGCGATTTACAAATTTGCGTCACAGTGCGAGTAAACAGGTGGGTCTATGTTGTCAACGGGTCCCAATAGGCACATACTACGTTGTTTTACGGAAATCTCATTTTATAGAAAAATTTTATATACAACGTTGTTCCGGCCGACCCTTCAATTGTAGATTTAACAAGTGATTTCTCAATTTTACTTTAAATTTTGTCAAATTTTTTCTGGTCTTTATCTCTGAGTATATTTTATTATATTCAATCAACCCTTGATGGAATACAGATTTGTAGCATATGTTATACTTTTTGGTCATGAAATGGAAGTCATCTTTATTTTTGGTATTATGTAAATGATGGTCAACATTTGATGATGTTAAATTAGTTAGACTTGATGGAAATATATTATTTTTACTTTACAAATGAATATCATTACAAGATATTTGATAAAAATTTTTACATTGAGCCATTTTAATTTTCTAAGCATTTGCCTAATTGGAGTATATTTATCTTTATTTAGTATTATTCTCAAGCACGTATTTTGAAAAATTTGCAGTCTTTCAAAAATGGAATTATTTGCTAAATATAGAATAGTCGAACAGTACAAGAAATTTGGAAGAATGATGGTATTATAGATAATTGTTCTGCTATATGAACTCAGACATCCGGAAACTCTCGACAAATATCTCACTTTACTACTAATCTTATTTATAATTTATTCATAATGAATATCAAAAATTAATCGAGAGTCAACAAAAACCCCCAGGTAATTAAAATTTTCTACGAATTCAATATCTTAACCATCAATATTCAGTTGAACATTTGTACATTGTTTTTTCCGATTAACAAGGCTTTCGTTTTACTTGTATTTAATTTTAGTCTGTTAGATGCTAACCATTTTGAGACAAGTTCCCAGTCTTCATTTATATAAGAGATACCAGTCTGAATATTTTTATTACCTATATAAATCATAGTGTCATCGGCGAAAATCTGAATTTTGCATTTTTTGACTAGGGCAGGTAAATCATTTATGTATAAAGTAAAAAGAAGTGGTCCCAGGATACTGCCCTGTGGAACACCCAACGTATTTTCAATTTTTGATGAAATAGTGTCATTAACTTATGCAACTTGCATCCTTTTAGACAAATAATTTTTAAACCAATCTAAAACACTTCCTGTTATGCCTTCAATTTAGTTAACAAAATATCTCTATCAATCGTTTCAAATGCCCTTTTCAAATCCAAAAATACTGCTATCACAACTTCTACTGAGTCTATGTCTCTTCTCCAATTCTCAGTTACCAACTGGAAAGCCGTTTCAGTGGAATATTTTTTTCGAAAGCCTACTTGCGCCTCCACTAAAATTTTGTTTTCTTCTGTAAACTGCATTAATTGGTTATGCACTATGGACTCAATTATTTTTCGATGTCTGGTAACACATTTACTGGTCTCATATCGCTGCATCTTTTAGAATTTTTTATTTTGAGAACTGGTGTTATTGTAGAGCATTTCAAATTTTCAGGAAAAGAACTGCTTCTCGGTGAACAATTGATCCAATTTAATACAGGATATCCCAAAATTTCGAAACAGTTTTTCAGCACGTTTTTAGTAGTGATTTCGGCACAGTTGTTATTTGATTTTAAACTATTTTACCATCCTATTTACCATTGAAATATTTGAAATATAGAGGTATATGATATACTTGAGAGAACATACTTAATGAAGTTGGGATTCTATTTGAGTCTTTTGAATACAATAAAAATCCCTCAAGCTTTGCTTTTTGACGATTCAGTGTCCTGATCATTTCCGGGATCATTTTTGTAGGGGCTAAACATTGGGGGTTGTATATTATTTTGCTCTAAAAACTTAGAGAATATTTACAGACGCGACACGCGGTCGGCGGAGCGATGGGAACCTTCATGCGACAGACTCTATCTGCGTCTGACTGCATCGCCGGCATTCTCGATCTCGAGTTATAGTATCGAGGCTGGCGTGGTTGGCTTGTGCGGTCAGCAGACAATACTTAGGGAAGGGAAAAATCTAGCATCAGCTTTATCAAATAGGTGAGAAAAAAAACATTTCGGTAGGTGTGCCACAGGGTAGCAAATTAGGTCCATCACTATTCATTTTATATATCACATACAAACAAAACGAAATGATTCCTTATAGGAACATCTTTAGACAAAAATGCCTCGGAAAATACAATAAATCTTACGATTAATCATGGAAAAATTGAGTCATTTGGATATTTTTAATATAAACGATAAATTACTTTTATAGAATTTTGGATAGCCCATGAGTTCTAAAAAAATTGTGTACAAAACTATCATTTTTCCTCATTTGTTATACATATTTCGACTATTTTGTTCACTGCGAAGGCATCTGTATTTACAAATTTACAAATATTATATAAGAAGGATATTAAATAAAAATAAATACGCTGGAATAAATTTTATGGTGACAGATCTACAATGAAGTACAATAGTTACGCTACTAGAGGAAGCATAGACTTTCATTTACAAAATCGTAGTACTCGTAGCAATATAACAAAGAAATCAGTATTTCGAAAAGGACTGTACGAATGGAATATATTAAGTAATGATATAAAGATACTTGCCCATGTTCAAAGGAAAATTGAAAAAATATTTCACGGAAAACCAGAATTCATAGTAGTTAAATTATGCATAAAAATGTATACCAGTGATAATTTTAGCATTAATGCTAAATAAATCTACAGCAAACAAACGAACAAACTATGGAGTATAGGGTATTTGTATGAGCCTATTTGACTGACTCAATCCATTCAAGGTTTTTGCTACACATGTTTGTAGCTAGCTCAGAAGGACTAACTGCTGCTGAATATAATCTTTTATGGACTGATGACAGCGTTGCGTGGGAAGTGCAGAGTCAACCTACTTAACGCGATTTTTCTTATAGGTGGCTGAAAGACTGCTATCTTGCGGCTACTATTTCCTGAGCAAATTCGGAAAAACCTGCCCCGTACAATACGCGGAAGACAAGATACCGTTTCAAATGTTCCTCCCGATGGAACAACGATACAACGTTTTTCCTGTCATCCACAGAAATTATATCTATTTCTTAATCGGCAGAGAAGCCGTGGAAAAATTCCGAACCAACCCTTTGAGGTTCATCATGGTGGACAGCGTAAAATTTCCATTAATACCATTCAACGTGGCTGTGTCTGGACCTCCAAAATGTGGGAAAACCATTCTAGCTGATAGAATCAGGAACACGTACGGGATGAAGTTGATCAGCAGGGGTCAGGCAATACGGTGTGTAGGTCTTCTTAACTCTTTGCGGCCAGGAGTATTTTTTTATCCATCTTATGTCATATATCTCCGGACCATACACATTTATTACATTAATTTACTCACTTTCACGGTAGACGCTTACGAGGGGACTGATAATCACACACCGAGCTTTGCATGGCTTCTTCGGCACTGACATATCCTCATGAAACAGGTTGCCCTACGACGTTGTTAATGCGTCCACAGATGGTTGCACGACGAACTCCAGGTTACTTAGATAGAAAGATAGAAAAATATGCTTTATTCCCTGAAGAATAAAATCACTCTTGATGACAAAGCTAGCTTAAAATTAAACTATAACATAATTACACATGTGAATCTTATGCAGGTGAAAATTGCAGAACGATAAATGATTGGTCAAAGAAAAAATTTGAGGTTATAAACAACTTTAAGTTCAAGTTGATATTCTTCTTTGTTACTTAATTACATCGTTGAACATTCCGCGAAGGGTCTCAAAGAGTTCAATAGCTATGTATGGTGGCATAAAACGGTTGAAGAAACTCTTTAGTACGTCTTTTTGTCTCACTGCCATTTGTCAGTAACTTATCTTTATGAGATGTTGTAAAAACTGAATAACTCTGGAAGATAAAGAGCATGGGCGGCGCATATCGTCAAGAATAAAACTACAATAACGTAACTTTACCCACAGGTATGTGTTGGCCTACATGCCATTCTGTCAGTTAGCCGTCAATATGGAGGACGTTTTGAGGAAAGGATGGGAGGTTACTGACGAGATGGTGGCTAGATGTGTTGAGGCTGCGTCTATGGATCCCAGGGCGGTTACGCAAGGTATTGTAGCTTTGTGGTCAGATTCCGTAACATATCACCAAGGGCTTGTTCTGTCACAAATACAGAAATGGCCGATAAGGCCGCTCCTTTGCCTCTTGGGTACCAAAATCGTGGTATAACTACACACCTGAGGAAGCTTTTCCCAGTTCAAAAATCGGATTATCAGTTTCTTGAAGCTTCTCATAGCAAGGTATTAGGAATTATGGTATCTGAGGTATTGCTTATAGAAGCAGGTTGTCTTTGGTATTTATCAGAGGCAACATGACCACCGTCTGATGCGTCTTCGGGTGAGGGGATCACATGTTTTGCGTTGTATAAGAGTGCTTATCAATCCACTTTTCTCACAAGATAATGCGTGACCATATATAACCAGAATTATGTTGGTCCTTTTTGAAGAAAACCAAGTATTTGTTTCTTTGGTCCCCAGACATGTTTCTGGCCATAAGACCTCGTGGAGGTTCAACAGATTATTAATTCTTTACATTTTTTTAACGGTATTTTGAAATTTGGATAAATTACTTGTCTATCCTTAAGAGACATACAAAAAATTGTGTAAAAAATCGTACTTACTGGGAGTTCTTTTTTCGACGACACTTAGGCCCGATTTTATTAACAGAAGATCAAAATTCTTCATCCGGATTATAGTGAACCAATTAGAAGTCACCTTTGTAATAATGGATCTAATGAATATAGCCGATTTTTTACAAAATATCTCTCAAACTAGCAAAAAAAATTACAATTTGAGTAAGAAGGATCACTAATCCCCCTGCTAAATCATGAAATTCTTTATAACTCGCCCGGTTTAGCTACAAACACATATTTTTCAGTTGATCCAGAGCTCAAAACTTTCATGATCCGTATCAACAACGACCAGTTAGAAAGCGTTTTCGTAAAACTGCATCGAATCGTGGATCAAATCTGATATAATTCGTAGATTGATTTGACACTACTGAGCACTTTATTGAAAAGTGTATTACCTCAGAGAAATAATTTTAGAAAAACGGATATATGATTAAGAATGCATCAACGTGTTGATTGTCGATTAAATTGTCATCTGATATTGTAATTTTTAGATATGTGAACCACTATTTGGCACACTCACGTCCACAGTTTGGGCACGATATTTATGCGAAGTATCGGCAGTCATATTTTTAATGAAAGTAATGTTAACTGTTAAGAGTAGTAGGAAAACGAATACCAGAGATGGGGCTGGGGGGAATGTGTACGCAAATATTCACAAGTTTTAGGGTAATTTAACGTTATAAGGACGGGAAATACTTGGCGCCTTATTTAGAAAATCTGGTTACAAAAAGAGTTATTGCAAGTGCTGGTACGATCAGTTTGAGCTTATTTTGAATGTGAAACTGAGTTGTTTTTGAGTTTTTGGTGACAGATATTTGAGGCAGTGGTTTTCAATACAGTAAGTAGGTAGTAAGTTTAATACAGTTTCATCCGGATAGATTTGGTGTCAGATCATTATAAGTAATCTTTAAGTAGACCAGCAGTCAAACAGCATCGTAGACATGGTGCTACGAGGATCAGAAGCATTATCTGGTTCTGAATTGTCGAGTCGACAAACACTGACAAAAAAGAAAGTTTTCGATTATACAGACCTTTCTTTTTGTTGTAATTTCTTATCTGGTTTCTACCATTCTTTCTATAATTTTATTAAGCAAAGGCAACAATATACAGTCGTCTAAACCAGATAAAGGTGTTTAGAATAATTGTAACCCTCTATTTACTTTGAAGGACGACATGCGGATTATATACAGTAGCAAACACATGTGATAATGGGAGATCACTAAGGAGTTTGTTGAAATCTACACCTATTTCACAACCGATATATCCTTTTTCTTTTATTTTCTCAGGTGTTTATGTTTGTTTTGCATTTGGTTCTATCATTTACGATACTTGTTTCTGATTGGCCAATTTACGATGCAGTTTTATGAAAGCGCTTTCTATTTGGTCATTGCGGATACGGATCATAGGTCAAGTGGAAAAATGTGTTTTTGTAGCAAAGCCACGTGATTTATGAAGGATTTTTAGATTTAATATTGGGATTGGGCCGCTTCTTACACAACTCGTTAGTTTGACAGGTATTTAAGAAGAGATCGACTACATTCATTTGATCCATTACTAGAAAGACGCCTTGTCATAGTTCTATTATGATCCGGATCAGGATTTTAGATCCCGCGAGTCAATAGTAAAATCTTTGTATGGGGTGCGGCAGAGAGAACGGACGTTTTTGGGATGGGTGGTACTCTCCGCCACCGTCCACGAGAGAGGTGGGGAGGTTGCCGTTTGACTCGTGAGATCCTAGCATTATTTTACCAGTTGTCGTTATGGAGCCTTGGACGGTGGAGCACCGCATTTTCGTCCGAAATAATGAGTCAGTCATCGTCGTACAGCGTGAGTTTCGTTGCCACTTCAACATTCATCGGAATAGAGCTGTTCCCTCTCGAAACACCATCCTTCGTTGGGTTGAATCACTTCGCAGGCGTGGTGAACTGATCAACAGAAGACCAAGAGGAGCGCCGCGAACAGTTCGAACTCCTGAAAATGTTGAACGCGTTCGACAGTCTTTCTTCGCAGTCCGACTCGATCTGCCCGGAAACATGCTGCTTCACTTCGCCTTAGTGATCGTTCGGTAAGGCGAATTTTGCATATGGATCTCCGCTATCGCCCCTACAAATTGGCCATTGTGCAACAGTTACAGCCCGGAGATTATGCACAACGAATGAACTTCGCAAGTGAGATGGGAGCACTGATCGATCAAAATGTGTCGTTATTGGGCTAATGAAAATCCGCAACAGTTACACGAAAGACCGCTGCACAGCCCAAAAGTAACGGTTTGGTGCGCTGTATCGCAAACTTACATCATTGGCCCTTACTTCTTCGAAGACGGTAGTAGTCGTGATGTTACCGTGAACTCAGAGCGCTACGTCGACATGATCACCAACTTCTTTCTCCCTGAATTACGACGGCGACGTGTTCCAATCTGACGTGTGTGGTTACAGCAGGATGTTCATTGGCCTCCTCGGTCCCCAGATTTATCGATATGCGATTTTTTCTTATGGGGACACCTCAAGGCTAGAGTATACGTGAACAAGCCCCGAACTCTGGAGGTATTGAAGGGCGAAATTCGCGTGGAAGTCGCCCAAGTTGAGAGAGCGATGTTGGAGAGAGTCTACGCGAACTTCCAAGAACGCCTCCAGCACTGCATCAACGATTTCGGCCACCACATGCCTGTTGTGATTTTCCAAACTTGACTGTCTCAAATGCTATTTCCTTGTGAACCTGATTCCATCAATAAATTTGTTTTCGAGTAAAAATTAACTATTTTATGATTTTATTAAAACCGTCCATCCTCTCTGCCGCATCCTGTATATATGTCCCATAGATGATCTGTAAACGATTAATAGTGCTATGAGAACTTCTCTCGTTAGGTCCGGTCATATCGACCAGTTCTTCTTGAGAAACTTGTGGCGCTAAACTGCTGCATGCTATTTTCTTCTTTCTTTTCAAAGGTATGGTTTATGACGGGTTCCCGAACACCATAACAGAAGTCAAACATCTATCCTACACAGGTCTAGTACCAAACCTAGTAGTCGACCTCCAAGCGACTGACGATGAGATATTCGAAGGACTGTCAAACGATGTAGGCAGAAGGGGTTTCCGGAGATACAGCAAACAATTCGTTGAACGTCTTCTGCAGGAATGGACGAAAACAGCCAAGGATTTCAGAGTCTGGTTTGATAAAGAATATCAAGTCACGACATGTATTCCTATAAGTACCAGCAACTGGTCGGTTTGGACCCAAGGCAAAGCTGTGATTCTGGCATCATTTTTGAGCGGAAACATTATTTCTCTCATGTCAAAGACGACTGGCCTTTGAGACTTGCAAATATGCTCGTCACACCGTTGGAGTTCCATCAAAGGCAAAGCAACTATAAAAGCTTTTGCCCTTGTTGCCTACATTTTTCTAACGAACTAACCAGTGGAGGAGATCCTCCCGATCGAACTGGTCTCGTCCAATACAGAAAATACTATTACTGGTTATGTGAAGATCATATTGAGCAATTTCTAAAAACGCCAGACGAGTTCTTACCGCCCTACGGTCGCAACGCTCTACCCCAGAACCTTCCTACGATCCGAAATTTGAAATCCACGCCTGAAAATGTTTTCGAAAACGGTAGCTGTGTAGTATGCTACAAACTAACACGTGCCAAAGTCAATGGTTCTTTAGAACATGCTGTAGGGTACAACAACAGAGTGTACCTTTTTGAAGACAAAGAACATTTGAGGATGTTTATGAAGAATCCTCAAAATTTTATGTTTGATATCAGCTTCAAGCAACCTACACCATATCCTTCTTTGAAGTATGAAGAGTTGCCTGTACTTGGAATGTTAGAGCAGTACGTCGCCAAACCTATAACCAAGGCACTAAACTACGTGACGAGACGTAGACCAATAATCCCAGGTCTAAGTATTTCTGCTTCAGCTGCTGTGGGTATTGGATTATACTTGAAAGTATATAGCGAAACTTTGCCTGACCATTATAAGACAGAGTATTTCAAAGGTGACAGCTTGTATAATGAAAGAAGGCATAAGCTACTATTCTATTTGGATGCTATGAAGTCAGTATTGAATCCGTATTTGTATTACGAAGAACCGTTGCCTGAATTCAAGATGTTAGAATCAGAGCTCTCTACTAGTACTGAAAGCGTTTGTACTGAAATGTCGAAATTAGTCAATGAGATTGTTGACGGTATTGATTATTAGGCGTGTTCCAGTGTAGTTTTAATAAATATTCCGTTGATTATAATGCTTGTTCTAAATCATAAGTATCTTGGTATTGTTGTACACTTCCAGCTTCGTTAGGATGAACATATCCAATATAAAGCGCCTATTAACTCCCAATCATATTTCATTGAAAATTCACGAACGGTCCTTACTGACGCATAGCTAGTTTCTGTTTACTACGCTCAAGTTGAGACACGACTGAGGTCTGCCCTATCTTCTGGGGTTTGACCACAAATGCCCAGCAAGTATTTTTAGCCCAGAAAAGAGTTGTTAAATTTGTATGATCGAAGTCAGTAGTAGACATTCTTGTAAAAACATTTTAAAGCATTTTAAGATTTTAAATTTACCATCATTATTTTTATACGAAATGGTAGTCTTTTATTAACAAAAGTAGGTTTTTTACAAAATTTTAACTCGCACTCGACCTACTTAAATGTGCGTTTTGCCAATTATAAGATCAGCGTCAGATCTCCGGACATACAGGGTCTTCGCGTTTTCAATAGGCTACCAAATCACGTTGAGGAGCGTGGATATATAAATAATTTCAAGGCTAAACTTACAGAATTTCTTATAAGTAAATGTTACTATGCCCTCTCTGAGTCTGTTATTCTATGAGTTATTTTTATGTTTTGTTGGTATTATGCATATACTTATTTTGTGATGTTTTATTAGTTTTTACTCTGATTAATCCCATACATACATTGTAATGTCTCTCAGGAATGTAAAAAATGGTATCTGAATTTGAATGTTACAGAGAAACATAGATTTCTGTTATTTAAGTTCAGATATTACACACAAATTTTCAATGAAACTCCATTAAACATTTTATATTAAACACTAGTTGAATGAAACATAACCTTGAAGTTATTATTTCGGGATCTACGAATAACAACCATCTAAATTCTTTACGAATATTACAAAAATTATTCATAAAGTCAATGCATAACAAACCTTATCATATATCATGCCAAAACTTTTGAATATAAGATTTTTTTTGGTAAAAACAAACATTCGACCATTTATAAAAATTACGAATATGTGTCTGCTTCTGCTCTATGGGCTGAATGGCGAGTGTACTGGTCTTGGTAATCGTTCTGCCATGACATTTTGGCAAGTATCTCAAAAACGGGGAATTTATGAAAAGTAAGGAAACCAAAACACAAAAAACGACTTCCCGATTTTACCCGTTTTTGTAGTGTAATACATAATAATACATAGTTGCTAAAAGTTAAAATGCTTCAAATGAGGTTCAAATGACCTGTATCCTACACATTTTGGGTCTCTAGGACCGACTCCGAAGTCATTCCACATGTATTTGAACCCATTAATCATGTTGCAATTGGAAAAATATCCGCGACTTTAGGGCGCTAAAAATCGATTTTCTTTATCGGTGGCTATATGCAAGCGCTGCTCTGTACAATTTAGGGAGATAAATTTCAATATCATCGTGAAAAAAACAATAAATGGTCACGGTGCCTAATTAGGGGTGAAAAATTGATAAAAAACTAGGTACCCGTAAATCTTAGCACTGAACTGACATCGAATTCGGAATTCATGTACCTTGCACGTACCCGATTCACCTAAAAATAGCTCCCATCCCAATTGTTTATTCATTCTTTGATAAGTGGAATTCTTGACCGTGTCTCAAAAACGGGGCATTTTCGATCTGAATGGGATCCGGATTCGGTTTCAGTGACCCAAAAATAAGGATAGTTGGGCTCACGTTCCCGATTACCCGATTTGAGTAACTAAAAATTTAAGTTCTGTAGATGCGGTTCAAATGACCTCCATTGTACGTATTTTGGGTCGCTAAAATGGAATCAGAGGTCTTTTCACATGTATCTGAATCCGCTTAGCATGTACATTCTATTATTTCGTGAAAAATTGCATTCTGGTAATTTGGAGCGCTAAATTTCGTGAAAAAACCATAAAGGGTCACGGTGTCGAATTAGGGTTGAAAAACTGATAAAAAACAGTCACCATCTAGTTCTACCTTTACAGATTACCCACTCCCTCGTTGCTGAAAAACATGAGCACTTTTTGAGCAGCTAGAAAATCACATGGTACATTTCTGACTTGACCAAATAATCATGCTGTTAACGTCGCATATCCCTTTGTTTCAACAGCCTGTCAGGGGGAGCACTCTTAATACTTTTCGTCTGATTGTTTCATGCTATGTAAACAGATGATTGAAAAACAATGTTATCAGTATCAAAAAATGCGTTTTTGTGCATTTTTTCTTCAATCGTAACTTGTTATTATGTAAATTATAGTACAGTTGTAAAATTGTATGTGCATATCACACTTTTATGGAAGAAGTGAGCGGGTGATTACTTTTTCTTATCACCTTATCACTTTCTCTCTTCAAAAAATCTTTGATTTCTTGAAAACTCCATTTGCTGCAAAATGAGGTTTTAAGAAAATCAAAGTTTTTTCGAAGGGGAAAAGTGATAAGAACAAAAATAATGACCCGCTCAATTCCAGTGTCAAAGTGGAATTTTAACATACAATTTCAAATGTGCATTAATATTTGTTAACAAGTTACGATTGAAGAAAAAATTCACAATAAAACATATTTTTTTAGAAATAACATTGAAATAATACCATGAAATAATCAGATGAAAAAGATTTAGAATACTGCTCCAAACAGGTAGTTGGAAAAAAGGGGACATGCGACCTTAACCAATCAAATAAAGTACTAGAAAAAATACTTATTTTCATTCGGATCGATGGTGCAGAAAGGAAAGTTTTCAGCCGCAGCTGAGCTCTTGGTGAGCACGTTGAAGAACGTGGACTTTCCCACGTTTGGCACGCCGACGATGCCCACTTTAAGGTTCGTGCCCACCCGGCCGATCAGCGGTTTTCGCTCTGGTTCTGGGACCTTCTTTGGAGGCATTCTGGAACAAATACACGTACAGATATAACAACGAACAACGAACTTATCTGCAGGGTGTCCCAGTATTCCGACGACTCTGACTCTTTTTTTCAGCAGATCTTTTTATTTACCTAATTTCTGATCTAGTATAAAAACAGGATAGTTTTCGAGAGAAAAAAAAAATGAGTTGCATCAAGAGGTTCCCAAGACTCTTATTAATTCTTTAAGTGTAGTTAGCGAAATAAATAAGTATGATATTACTTATTACAATTTTATTTAATACAGACAAGAGCGCAAATCTTTCATAAAAGGTGTTCAATAAGACCAAAATTTTTGTTGCTACTCATACGGCGCAAAAAAGTATAGTTAACTTTCCTGCCCAATAGTTGATTGTTTTTCCGGGGGACGAGGTGGTCATTGAATCGAAGCTTTTTGATCTCTACCGATCCACCTACTATCAAATTTCTCGTTCAAGTAATGTCTTACATCACGCGCAACTAGAAGCCTTCTAGATTTTAACACTTGTAATAAGAACGTTTTTTAGAAACCAGCTCAGAAAATTTTTTTCTCGAAAACTATGCGTTTTTATAAGACAAAAAATGAAGTAACTAAATTATCTTTTAAATAAAAGAAATCTGAGTCGTTGGGAGAATTGCGAAAGAAATCTGCTATAATTTATGTAGGAGTGGCGCTAGTTTTTACCCTTCTCGAGCCCTTTCAGGTTTTTTGGAAAAGTCAAATATCAGGACGTCTAGCATAACACAGGTGTCCTAAATTTCATTCAAATCGGACTATCGGCTTCAAAAAATATCTGACAAAATGTGTGTTTGAAGACCTACAACGGACAAACGGAGAACTTTTGCATAGAGGTAATCAGGTCCAATCGACTTATTTTGAGTCTAAAAATACGTGGTATTTCTATATCTACGGAACATTGGGACACACCATCAACCAAAATATCTATAATTGACTTTGATTAATTTGTATCGTAAACTCAATTATAGATACGTATATTTAAAAATAAGAAATTACGGAGGGTCTATTCAAGAATTTAAAACACAGACATATACGTTTAGCTTAGTCTAGTTAGTGCGGGCAATATCTTCCCATCTGATGGCAAAATATTCTGATTTGGATATTTGGCATAATCTTATTTAAAAAGTTTCAACGATCTGCATCTTTTTTAATGCATATTCGAAAAATTGTTTTTTCGGTCCCGTCAAAGTGTTTCTGCGTTGTTCGGGACATTCTCAACAAAAAAATGCTTCAGATCTTTTCTATAAAGTGGACAGTTTTCAAAATATAAGCGATGCAATACTTGAAAAAAATGCGAATATGCCTTATCAACCCCGAAAAACAATATGTTGAAACGAAAATTTTATGCTCCCAACGTTCCTAAGTATTCTTCAAATATACATTAATGAGGTCCCAAAGCTTTCCAATTGTTAATCACTCACGCGCGGCCGCCCCCATATGTTGCATCTCTCTTGCACTTACTATTAAAAAACAAAAGGTTTACAATAACAATACCTCCTGAAATGCTTTGGGATTTTGTTAATAGATGTTTGAAGAAAATCAGGGAAAATTGACAACACTGAAATTTTAGTTTTTTTCATACTTTATATTGTTTTTAGGGGTCTAAATGGAATATTTCCCAGTTTTTCAAATATTGTATCGCTTATATCTCGGCAACTACCAACTTAATAGTAAGCGGTAGAGCACCTTTTTTGTTCAGAACATGCCAAAAGACTCAGGAACCTTGACCGGAGCAAAAAAAAAATATTTTTGGAGTTTGCTTTACATTTTTTTACGCAATTTTGGGCCAGCCAACATGCAGATTCATTAAATGAATACGAGTAAAGATAAAGAAGGTTTATTCCATCATATGCCAAGATATTGTCGGGACTAAGCGTGCTGAGGTCTACGGCTCAACACAGCAAAATAATAATTGTTCCAATAATTAAATTTTAGGCAAATATCACACCGAGCATGCCCGAGTGAAGTTCAGGCCTAGTTCCGAACTATTCAGTAGGACCAGAGAATTACATGGCCTGTTGTCGCCAACATATCTTCATTGACGTAAAATTTAAAACTATCAAGTTTCCGGATGGTAGGTAGTGTCGGAATTGAGATAATTTGTTGTTTTT